GCATGGTGGTGGGCACCTATAATCCCAGCTACTTGGGAGGCTAAGGCAGGAGATTCCCTTGAACCCGGAAGGTGGAGGTTGCAGTGAGCTGAGATCGAGCCACTGTACTCCAGCACGGGCGACAGTGCGAGACTCCCTCTAAATAAAAAATAAAAAATAAAAAAAGAAAGGAAAAGAAATAAAGTGCACAGGTGGACCTCAGAGGAGATTCAGAAGCCTGACTGAAGTTTGGCCAAGCAAAGAATCTTTGTCACTTGACAAGGTGATCTGTACACCTTCATCGAGTCACTCATTCAGATCTTTGAGCTTGGTGCTCCAGAGTGACAAATGACTGATTGCAGCTCCTGCCACTTGGAGAGCTGTCAGCAGTAAGAGGGGAGCAGATCCGGAACACAGGAGTACTAACATCACAGGACCTGAGGAGCCACTGAGTGGGAGCAGAGATCATCCAGGCTACCCCTCACTTCACAGATGGGAAACTGAGGCCCCAGGACCCTCACAGCTAGAGGCTGAGCCTGTCGTGAACGCAAGAGCTCTAGACAACTAAATGTGTCCTCTTCCCTCCAAGGGCCCCTCTGTGGGGTTATGTGAAGCCAAGAGGGTAGATAGATATTTGTAGTTGCCATCTGGGGATTCTTGTGGGCAACATCATGAGCTCCTGGAAAGACAGGTAAGCACATGCCCAGTTCTGCCCTGCTGCTCCCCAGCACCTGGCACCATGCCGGGCACTCGCTGCCTTCTGTGAGCATCACTTACACTGCCCATTTTCTCCTGGTCGTGTGCACGCTCATCATTGTTCTGCTAGACAATTCTTGCATTTGCCCTTTACATCTTATATTTTAGTTAATTCTTATTGCATTTGATATCTTCGCAACAGGCTAGCTCCATAAGCACCCTGAGAATGTGGAATGTGTCTGCTTTCTATACCACCATCTACTCAATTGTCTTGGACCATGCCTATCTCATAAGCAGATGTTGAATAAATAAATGAATGGATGGGCAGTGGGGAACCATATCCCGAGCTTCCCAAGCTGAAGCACTTCTCCTGGATTCCTAGCGGGGAGCTTTGTACATAGAAGCTGCTCCACACAGCTGCATCCTTGGCAGCAAACAGTAACTACTTATCCATGGATCAGGGTAGGGAGAGCACGAACCTCAGGGAGAAGCACCACTGAACCTGTGGCTTGGTTTCAGCCTGCAGAGAAAATACAACTGTGGCTGTCTGGCCAGGCAGGTCCAGCTTTCCTGGGTCATCTAAAATGACTGCATGCTTGCTCTTCAATCCTTTCCTTGCACCTGCATTTCTGAGGTGCCTTTGCCCTCTGGCTTCCAGGTAGCCGTGGCTGATTGGGGGAACTGGTGATCACTGCAGGGCCTCCAGGAGGAGGGGAGAAGCCGGCCATTCCTCCTCCTCCGTTTCCTCCACTTCCTGCTTTGTTGGACAGCAGCTGTGTCTCCTCTGTGGCACCAGCTCCCTTGGGGGCAGCCCCCACCGTCATTCTAGTGCCTGCTAGATGTACAATGGCTGGATTTTAAAAATAAAATGCAGGCCACCAGTTAAATGTGAATTGTAGATAAACTGTATTTTTTTGGGTCGGGGAGATGGACTCTCGCTCTGTTGCCCAGGCTGGAGTGCAATGAAACCATCTCGGCTCACTGCAACTTCTGTCTCCAGGGTTCAAGCGATTCTCCTGTCTCAGCCTCCCTAGTAGCTGGGACAAGAGGCATGTACCACTATACTCAGCTAAGTTTTCTTGTATTTTTAGTAGAGACGGGGTTTCACCATGTTGGGCAGGCTGGTCTTGAACTCCTGACCTCAGGTGATCTGCCCACCTCAGCCTCCGAAAGAAAGTGCTGGGATTACAGGCGTGAGCCACTGTGCCTGGCCCAACTGGGTACATTTTTATATTACATTTTTGATTATGATAAAGTACACATAACATAAATTTTACTATTTTAACATTTTTATTTATTGATTTTTTAATTGCATTTTAGGTTTTGGGGTACATGTGAAGAACATGCAAGATTGTTGCATAGGTACACACATGAACATTTTTAAAGTATACAATTCTGTGGCATTTAATGCATTCTATGTTGATTTCCAAAATACAGGCTGGGCACGGTGGCTCATGCCTTAATCTAAGCACTTTGGGAGGCCGAGGTGGGTGGATTACCTGAGGTCGGGGGTTTGAGACCAGCCTGACCAACATGGAGAAACCCCCGTCTCTACTAAAAATACAAAGAAAATTAGCCGGGCGTGGTGGCACATGCCTGTAATCCCAGATACTCGGGAGGCTGAGGCATGAGAATCGCTTGGACTTGGGAGGCAGAGGTTGGGGTGAGCCGAGATTGCCCCACTGCACTCCATCTTGGGCAATAAGAGCGAAGCTCCGTCTCACAACACACACACACACACACACACACACACACACACACACACACACGAAAAAGAAAAAAATACATTAGCAGTTATTTATTTATTTGAAATTCAGATTTAACCGGTGTCCTGTATTCTATACGGTGACCGTTGCTCCTGGGCTCTGAAAAAGCAGCTCTTCTTGTCATCCCTGCAGTCCAAGGAGTTTTTTCTAGCACCTCTGTAATTATTTCCCTTCATTAAAATCTCTGAGTAAGACTTAGAGAACTGCCTCTCTCCTGCTTCCCTGGCTGGACCCTGACTGTACAGACAACGAGAAGTATCCACTCTCCAACCGCCAAGAGCTTGGAGAGAACAATAGGGTCCCGAGGGAGCTCCCATCCCACCCAGACCCTGCTCCATCATCAACCCCCTTCCTCAGCCGCTCTCAATCCTCCCCTGCTCCGGAAAGCAGGCCAGGGGTCTCTGTAATTCTGCACCCCCACCCCCTGCCTGGGGTGATGGATTCCATATGTCTGTCTGCTGGGCCAGGGGTCTCTGTAATTCTGCACCCCCACCCCCTGCCTGGGGTGATGGATTCCATATGTCTGTCTGCTGGGCCAGGGGTCTCTGTAATTCTGCACCCCCACCCCCTGCCTGGGGTGATGGATTCCATATGTCTGTCTGCTGGGCCCCTCGCCCCCGCGCGGCCCCCTCCCCCGCCTTCCGCCCACCTGCCTGCCTTTCTCACAGCTCAGCTCTCGCCTCCCCGAGCCCTTCCTGTGGCACGTCTGACACGTCCCCAGCGTCTGCGGGCTCTCCTGCTCCCTCCCTGCCCCCTTTCAGACAAGACAAAGGAAAGAAAAGGGTGGCTCTGGTTGCATTCACTACTTTTATTAATGAATGCGAGAACAGAAACAGCTGGCCCTGCAAACAGCCCTGCTGAACGGGGCTGTTGTAAAAGGAGGCGGAATCCCAGCATTTTGGTTTTGAAAGGGAATTGAGGAGTGAATTAATCTCATTTCTGCACAATACGGGGTGCCTCTCCCCAAATCACAAAAACCAGAAACACGGCGCTAGAGTCGTGAACCCGTGGAGGTGAATAGTTCAGCCAGGGGAATACAGACAAGTGGTTCCCGGAAACACTTTATATCCTGAGAGCCTGAACGCGTAGTGAGATGGATTCGCACGGCGCTGCCACGGTGCATGTGGCCTGTGCTGCTGGGGTGCTGTGTGCTGCCGCACCACAACGTGGTAAAGTAGAGACCGAGAACGCTCAGAAACTTCGGGAACAATCTGACGTTGCTGCACCTTCCAATGCCTGGTCGTTTTGCTAGTAATTCATTTTATGATTGTATTTTACAAAAGTGGCAGTCTGTGGTGAACTAGGGTGCAAAAACCGGGTCTTTGCCAGAGGCGATTTGAAAAGCACTGTTTCGCAGCAACACTCAGGAAACTGGGTCCGGCTTTGGAAAGAGGATACATGTCTGGAGGCAAGTGACTTAACCTCTATGGATCTGAATTTCTCCTCTGCGATATGGGGACGATCATGAGTCCGACCTCATGGGATCGTTGCAAGAATTCTACAAGTTCACGACATAAGCACCGAGGGGCACCAGGCGCACAGTAGGGTGTGCGAGATTATTTGTAGATACTTTTTGATTTGAGTTGGTCAAACCACCAAGATCACTGTCCACTGACACTGTGGGAATCTCTGAAGACGTAGCTTCTATTCCCATTCTTTGTTGGCTGTTATAATAATTACTTGATCTTAAAGTTCACTTCTTTCCATGGCGACATTTCCATCCCGTCCTCTATCTTGAATCAAGATGAAACCTGGGATCTCTGCATTGGACCTGAGCACTGGGTCCACCCTGGGGCCAGGTTGGAGCTGATGAGGGAAGCCAAGGGCAGCTATGGGGGTCTGAAGAGAAGGTATTAAGCCATGGGAGGGAAAGGTCACAAAGCCAGCGTCACAAAATAGGCACTAAAATGGGGACTCCACAAGGGCAGCAGAGGGCGGACCATGAGAGATAAATGTGGGACAGTGGAGTGTCATTATATTACTGGTAAAAGAGTCCCAGTCCAGACCTCAGGAGACGGTTCTTGGATCTCATGCAAGAAAGAATTCAGGGTGAATCCAGAGAGTAAAATGAGAGCAAGTTTATTAGAGTAGTAAAGAGACAAAAGACTGGCTGCTCTATAGACAGAGCAGCCTCAGGGGCTGCTGGTCGGCTGTTTTTATAATTATTTCTTGATCATATGCTAAACAAGGGGTGGATTGTTCATGAGTTTTCTGGGAAAGCAAGGCAATTTCTGAAACTTAGGATTCCTCCCCGTTTTAGACAAAATAGGGTAACTTTTGGACATTATCATGGCATTTGTAAACTGTCAAGGTGCTGGTGAGAGGGTCTTTTTGTATGCTAATGCATCATAATTAGCATGTAATGAGCAGTGAAAACAACAAGAAGTCACTTTCCTTGCCATCTTGGATTTGGTGGGATTTGGCTGGCTTCTTTACTGCATTCTGTTTTATTAGTGGGGTCTTTGTGAACTGTGTTTTGTGATACCAGTCCTGTCGACCTCCTATCTCATCCTGTGACTAAGAATGCCTTTTTTTTTTTTTTTTTTTTTTTTTTATATTCTGTAATCCCATGTTTCTTCCATGGGGTTTTAATTCCTTTCAGCAACTTCTTCAATGGGGCAGTTTACTCTGCAGTACACTTGTTAGGTCTCTTCTGAACACCCTAGAAAGGTTTTTCCATCAGAGCCTCTATCCAACTGGTTCCATTCATTAGTTTAGTGGTGGCAACGACATATTCTGTACCTCCGTCTTCCAACTGGGATAGAAATCGCAGGGCAGCAATTTCAGCAAAGGTTACGCCTCCGAGGAAAAACACCAGAGTGACTCGGTTTTCTCCTGGTTGACGTTTCTTCTGCAGTCCTGTGGGCAGTGGCTGCCTCTCCTCAAAGTGGGGCCCTGGGAGGATGCGGAGGACCTCCTCGATGCTCCGCCAGCCAGGCCGGGAAAGCAGCTGAGCCAGCCGCACGCTGAGCGGGGCATAGCCGCTGTACACATAGGATATGTCCGTGGGGTTCTGCTCATTGACATCATCCATCCAGAGGCGTAATGTTTTCCGAATAGTCGGGTAATTGTTTCTGCCCCCTGTCTGTGGTTTCAGCAGGCCAGCCTTCTCCAGGTTATGTAAGGTCAATATGTGCTCATAGCCGTACGTCTGGAGAATCTCTCTTTTGTAATAATCCAAAACTTTTTGTTTGAGCCCACTATTACACACGGATTGGAGGCAAACTAGTCTTAACACCTTGATCAATGAGTGCTTTTGGGCAATACAATCCTCAATGTAATTGTTGACCTTATCGGTGTCTATTCCAGACATAAACTCCTGTTCCACGGTTAATTTATCAAAGAAGTCTTCAGAAGTAGTGACATCTTTGATCAATTCTGCAATTGAGGTATGGTTTGCCAGCGAGCCCCTTGCTGCCTGCATGTGTGGCAACTGGGAAACAAACTGCTTGATCTCCCCCACAGTCTTTGCGTTGTGTCTTTCCTTGAATGCTGCAGAGATGATCTTTGCTTTCTTGCTGAGCACAGAGCCCACCGCATTGAAGTTCTTATCTCGGATCTCAGCATAGAGCTCCTCTGCAGAATTCAGCTGCAGCTTCCTCTGGCCTTTCCCACCTGTGCAGCCTAGTAGGAATGCAGCCTAGTAGGTATCAGCCTTATTTTACCCAGCCGCTATTCAAGATGGAGTCACTCTGGTTTGAATGCCTCTGACAATTGCAGCAAGTGGTCGGCTCATTCACAATCATCCTTTATTGTTTTATGTTTGTTTATTTGTTTTCTTGAGACGAAGTCTTGCTCTGCCGCCCAGGCTGGAGCCCAGTGGCAGGATCTTGGCTCACTGCAACCTCTGCCTCCCGGGTTCAAACAATTCCCCTGCCTCAGCTTCCCAAGTAGCTGGGACTACAGGCATGTACTATCATGTCCTGCTAATTTTTGTATTTTTAGCAGAGATGGGGTTTTGCCATGTTGGCCAGGCTGGTTTTGAACTCCTGACCTTAGGTGATCCGCCTGCCTCAGCCTCCCAAATTGCTGGGAATCCAGGCGTGAGCCACCCCAACGGCCTGCAGCATCCTTTAAAGTGTAGGACGTGTGCCTCCCTGATATGTTTCTAGAATGCTGAAGATGTTCTCTGATGTCTGATAACCACTATTCACACCTTAACACATCTCCCTCACTCCAGGAGGGAATGTTCTTGCAGACCCTAGTACGCGATGGACAGGAGACACCACCACATTTGGAAGGCAGATATGGTCGTGGTTGCACTGGGGTGCCCTGCCTGTGTCTCCCTTTCCTTCATATACCTCTACTGCTAAAAGAAGGTCTATGCCAGAAGACTCAGTACCAATCCTATATTCACATCTAGCTTATCAGCATGCTGAGTGTCCTTTGTACTATGTTTTTCTTTTCTTTTTTGAATTTTGAATTACTTGCCAACACTTTCAAATGGAGAGAATTCATGCAAAAGTTCTGGAGAACTAATTTTGCTTTGAAATGAGCCCCTTTGGCTACCTCGGACCTTCATTCCTGCCAGGCCACAATCAGCTGATGCTGAGCAGCAGCTCACTTTTTCAGATGGCATAGGGGCTCTCCCCTTGGCACAGTCCCCACCACTCCTGTTGGTCAAGAAGCATCTACATATGAATCATCAGAGCTCTCTGCTTATCTAACTAACTGATTTATGTTCCCTTTCTGGTACATAGAGACATCTGAATTTGCAAACCCTTGTCTAAACTTTGGATTCTTAAGTCCCTAGGGCTGGACACAGTGGCTCATGCCTGTGATCTCAGCACTTTGGGAGGCTGAGGCAGGTGGATCACCTGAGGTCAGGAGTTTGAGACCAACCTGGCCAACATGATGAAACCCCATCTCTACTAAAAAGAAGAAAATTAGTTGGGTGTTGTTGTGAGTGCCTATTATCCCTACTACTTGGGAGGCTGAGGCAGGAAAATCACTTGAACCCAGGAGGCAGAGGTTGCAATCAGCCAAGATCACACCATTGCCGTCTAGCCTGATTGACAGGAGTGAAACTCCAACTCAAAAAAACAAAAAAGTCCCTCATACAATTTTTCTCTTAACTAGCTGTTGGGACATACTATTTTTCATTTCCGTCCTCTGCTCTATCTCCTACTTTATTCCTCTGTCCCAATCTCAGCTCAGCAGGCATTAGCATCTGTTCAGTATTTTTTTTCTTTTTTTGAAATAAAAAGGCTATTTTATTTAAAAAAAAAAAAAAAGTGGGCTCTGGGAGCAGGGTTAGTCCATTTGGGCCTTCAGTGTCCTGGTGGTGATTTTGTCCTTCTTGATGATATGGACAATGACTCCCATGCCTGACACTGCATCTCAGTCCACAGCATTGAGCATGGCGTGGGAGATGGTTTCAAACAGGTGTTCTGGATCCATATTGGGCTCCCAGAGGGACTCACACATTCTGTACATTTGTTTGGCATAGGTGCCACTGACCACAAAATCATGTCACCATGGGGCAGCCAGTGAGGTCTAGAGAGCAACTGAAGGGCTTATGGGTCTTTGGGTCCAACCCAGCAATGACTGGCTCAGTGTAGTAGGGGCCAAAATGTTTCTCATACAAGAGATTGGCCACCAGGCTCATGAGGGTATAAGATTTGATCTACTGAGCTTCCTTCAGCTCATACAGGTTCAGCTAGAACTTGAGGCACTGGGCAACTATCTGGACATCAGTAGCGAGCCCGGCCAGACCGATATACAACCCATCACCCATGGGAAAGATCTGGAAGTCTGTGGTCACCATCCAGGCCTGGATCCCGAAGTGCCTGTCTGCAGCGATGAGCACACAGTCCTTCCCCTTCATGGCCATGATGGCTCCTCCATTATAGGACATAATAGACATGACTGTGGTGCACAAGGACCCCTCCATTGCCGAAGCAATTCCAATAAACTGGGTCTAGCCTTCACACCTACCCATTATTTCTGACATTTAGACTCTACAGAGAGGGTCCCGGGATTCCAGACCTTTTCTCATCCTGCATCCCCTACCTACTTGGATGAATATTAAAATTTAGAGTAACAGAGAAAAGTCATCCGGAATGCCTGGCAGGTGAAAGAAGTTAAATAAATGGAAAGTGTTGTTATTGTTCGTGCCATACTCTGGTTCTTCCAAGGGCCGACCCCTAACCCTTTCCTGAACATCTCTCCTCTGAAGTCTTCTCTACAACTCTGGATCATGCTCTTGTCACTTCTCCATGGCCGTGGCCACCACTTTCTAACCAACTTCCCAGACTCTCCTTGGTCCCCTTTAAATCCTTTCTGCCAGCATGGTGATCTCCCTGAAATACAGTTTCGTCCATGTTACTCTTCTACCTAAAACTTCCAGTGCTTCTCTATTGTTTCACCATGAGAGAGTCTGAGATTCTCAGTAGGACTTAAGGTTGCTCTGTGACCCACCCCATCCATACTGCTCCAGCTCCATTTCCTGCCATTGCCAGTCCTACCCTGGACTTTCTGGAAACACCATCTACTAGTGTCTGCCACAGCACCCCGAGCTCTGTTTGCCTCCACGCCATTGGCTGTGCCATTCTGATGGCCTGGAAAGCCCTTCCCAGCCCATGCAATGTTTCTCTCTAAACCCAGTTCCTGAGTCTCTACGACTTCCCATGCTGTGTAGCGCCCTGCCACGCTGCCCTGCGCGTCCTTAGCACTGCCCGTGTCCTCAAATCCTGCGTGGCCTGCCTGCTTTGTTGGGGCGTCAGATTTTTGAAGACAAGAATTGCATGCATCTAGCTCACTTTTATATCCTCAAAACTCAGCCCACAGTAGGAACTTAATCAAAATAAATCACGTCTCCAATTAGAAAGCAACTTTCCTGATCCAGTACTACACCTTTCCAATAAAGAGATGAGTAGGTGACATTGAACAGAGCCCTCAGGCACGCAACTCCAAGCTTTGTGAAGCTGGAGGGCTTCTGCTCACTCTTTTCCTAGGGATAGGCTTGGCTAGAAACTCATTTTGCCCCATTCATTCTCCAGCATTTCACACCAAAGTGGCTCCTTTTGTTCTTTTTTTCTTTTTTTTTTTTTTTGGAGATGGAGTTTCGCTCTTGTTGTCTGAGCTGGAGTGTAATGGTGCAATCTCAGCTCACTGCAACCTCCGCCTCCTGGGGTTCAAGTGATTCTCCTGCCTCAGCCTCCTGAGTAGCTGGGATTACAGATATGCACTACCACACCCAGCTAATTTTTGTGTTATTAGTAGAGATGGGGTTTCACCATGTTGGCCAGGCTGGTCTCGAACTCCTGACCTCAGGTGATCCACCCACCTCGGCTTCCCAAAGTGCTGGGATTACAGGTGTTAGCCACCGCACCTGGCCTGGCATCTTATTTTTCATCCCAGGTGCAGTAACCACATGACCTGGACTGTCTGAGGTCAACCATTCTGTCTTTGTCCTTGTTATATGCACCTGCATTGTGAGACCACAGTCCTGATTGGATCCCCCATCCTTTTGATTTTTTTGGAAAAGGGAGATTTGCATAGATCAGATGAGAAGAATATGGGCAGTATGGGGTGGAGAGAATGGTGGTGTGTCAGGCATTTATTCTGCACACTGTGTTGTCCCAGGCCCTGGTGAAGTTCTAGACACTCGGCGGGGAGCACAGCAGACTCATTCCTTGTGTGCAAGGAGCTTACAGTCCAGTACAGAAGACACACGTTCAGCAGAAACTTGCACAAATAAATGTGAAACTGTAACTACGAGAAGTGTGACCGATCCGTGGAGTTCGTAGGGAGAGTTTGATGCAGGAAGGACAGGTCTTCCATGAGAAGACAGTTGAAGGAAGAGTTGGATAGTAAAGGAGGAGGGACTGGAGGAGCTCATGGTGGAGGAATCGGGCATGAAATGCGGCTTGCCGGGGGCAGAGATCCTATGCAGGACCTTGAAGGCAGGTCTGAGGTGTGGGGGCTTTATCCTAAGAGCCATGGGAAGCCATTGAGGGTTTTGAGCAGGGGTATGAGTTGATCACATTCATGTTTGGAAAAGAATCTTCTCCGGCTACTCTGTGGAGAGCGGACTGGGGCAAAGTCTTGCTTTCTCAATAGGAAGGCAGTGAGTAGAAACCTCTTACAGTGTCTGCTAGTCATGTCTGCTGCTCCCCTCCTCCTGTAAGCTACACCAGAGCATGGGGAATTGTCTGTGGTTCACCGATGTATCCCAAGCAACTAAAATTGTGTCTGGCTCATAGCAATTGCTTCAAAAATGCATGCATGCCTCGGAAGTTCCCAAGAGCCTCAGGCAAGTTTATGTCAATCTCAGATCCTTGATTGACTAAGTAAGGCATCAGTCATCGTGATTCATTTGGCCAACTTGTACTGGAACATAGCATGTGCTCAAGTGGAGGATACAAAGGATCCCACTGCCCCAAAGGGAAGAGAGACAGCAATCAAGGACGTGGCAAGTACAGGATAACAGTAAGGGCTCAACCTGGCCGGGTGCGGTGGCTCACGCCTGTAATCCCAGCACTTTGGGAGGCCGAGGCGGGTGGATCACGAGGTCAAGGGATCGAGACCATCCTGGTCAACATGGTGAAACCCCGTCTCTACTAAAAATACAAAAAATTAGCTGGGCATGGT